TAAGATTCTTAATTATAAATATTAAAGAAAAAATTCATGTAATTAAACAAAATGTACGTTTTTATGCAATAATATTTGTGAGACTTACGATAATCAACAATATTTCTACGTTTAAAATATTTCTCAATTATAATTAATTATTATAAAATATATACAGTGATTTGTATATACATATATAATTTTCATTGAATAAAAATAAATTATTTATAAGGAATTCATGTCAATCATAAATTATAAAGAATACTTAATATTTAATATTATAATTATACATTATAGCAATAAAAATGCATTGTCGCTTGATGGATTAGCCACTTGAAATATGAACAAAATTTAATCCAATTTATTTAGAAGGTAACATTATTTAATTTCAAATATATAATAAACGAAACACTTGTCAACGAACCATGTGAAGAAAGAAAAATTTAAGCTTATTTATACATATATATATATATATATATATATATATATATATATTTGATACGTAATTATTGTTAATCATTATTACGTATCGAAAGTAAAATCTCTCGTGGACGGCAACATCCACTTGTGTATTAAAATTAAGTAAAAGTGTATCCCTATTGATATTAAAAGACATTTAAGGAAGGCGTTAAAATTAAAGAAATTGTATAATGGAACGTAATATGAATCTAGATTCTTGTGTGTAGAAGAATTTAGTTGAGCACTAGAAGAAGCCACTTTAGCACCCTGACGGATTAAACGAGAGTACGTCCAAGACGTCACGAGTTTCATCGTGGCGACGCACTCAAAGCGACTGCGCAAAAACAAAAAATTGCTAACTCAGAAAAATGAAGTTTGCTTATTGGGAGAGACTCGCCTGGCCACCGTTAGAGCGCGCGCGTGTGTGTGCGAGAGATAGATAGATAGATAGATAGATAGATAGATAGATAGAGAGAGAGAGAGAGAGAGAGAGAGAGAGAGAGAGAGAGAGAGACAACCGCCGCACGCTTCATAAATAATGCCAGGACAGGAGGAGCGCGCTTTAGGCGCGGAAGATCGTTGCAGCCGTTGGGGCCGTGGGGTTGCGTCGCGTCCCATCCCGAGAACCGAATCCAACGTCGTCGTCGAGGCCGCACACGCGAATCCGACGTTACGGCGCCGAGCACCCGTTTAATTTGTGCTCGGGAATCCCCAAGTGCGCACGCGATTACGGCTGCGGGACAGTCGCGCGAGTCGTCCGTGAAAAATCGAAACGCCCGAATGACGCTGCCACGCACCGACTCTACTTTCTCTAGTTAAAAGGTCGACGGGATGCGCCGTCTGCGTCGAATCCAACCTCCAACCTCCAATCTCCACGACCATGTGACTTTACGAATTGCCTTCGTTGGTAATCGACGATTTCTACATTATACTATGCACTAAACTATATCCGTCCACGTCGAATTTATTTATTTCTGCTCGTAACTATGCACCACTTGTTCAATGGCAATACGGGCTCATAAGGAATAGAACATTGTTAATATAACCGAATAACTAATATCGATATCTTTATCGATATCGATAATTAATTTCGACGATACTTTAACCCTAAAATAGCGAATATTATTAATAATTATGACGGAACATGTATTTTCCGTAGTACAATGCTCCCTTGATAAATTAATCACTTTACATGCTGATCGTCTACGGATTAAAATGTAAAATTTTGGGCATTGTGTTTAAATATAAAATCAAGTCTATGTCGTGTACCTTAATTTCAACTTTTGAATAAAATTTATAAATGTAAAGTTACATTTAAATACATAATGAACCGAAAGAGCAGAAAGTATTTATTTATTTAAAAATTATGTATTCCAAATTATGGAATATATTTCAAACTTTAACTTTAATTTCACAAACAAATTTAATTCCCATGACAAATATTTATTTAAATTATACCGAGATTCTTTCAATTAATTACATTGAAGTCACTTACTTTTTGTTTACGTCTCTTATTTGACAATATTCATTATGAAGTTTGGCGGCATATTATTTGACCGATAATTTAATACAATTTGTTAATTGCTAAAAGCACAACAGCAGAACAGTAACTTATATTATTCTTATCAAATAAGTGCCTGATAGTGCGATAATACGCTGCTTATCGTTTATGTATGTATATTGATGATGAATTATTGCTAAGAGTAAATTCTATGAAAGAGAAATGCTAGAAAATACGCATCTGAAAGGCGCTTGATTGTTAAACGAATGTGACTCGTTTTTCAAAAATCGAATTTGTCTCGAGTAAAAGAAGCGCGAGAATTATTCGATCGACCAGCCATTAATATTTCGTCAAATCCAGTAAATTTTCCTTGATCGAGATGACCAAATCCTTGTTTCCCGACCACATGGACCACATAACTTACAAACCTCGATATCATCGCGTCGAAATTGGGAGACGTCGAGAACGTGTCACGACGAACACCCCCCCCCCCCCCCTCCGCCACCCGACCCGAATGATTCATCGGGATGGTATAGAGAGGTACTTTATTGGAGATATCGAAGCAACGGGGCGAACGAAACAAACAAAACAAAAAAAAAAAAAAAAAAATAGAAAGAAACGCGAGGACGCGTGCCTTATGACTGTCCAGCATGGACAGCATTAAACGAACGCACCACAGCTCGTTTCAACCGATTAATGCTCTGGATAAGACACCCGGGGGTTCGTCGTGCGGACTTCGCAGGGCGTCACCAGCCCCGACCCTTACCACCTACGCTCTCCTCACCCTAAGAGTCTATTTCGAAAATTATTCGCGGCGATGGCGAGGGGAGACACCCGATCAACGCTCCTCTTCTACACGGGATAATTGTCCGGCAATGGCGAGGACGCGATTGCGGCAGCGACGGATTTGACCTGTAGATGCCTCTCTGCCCATTCTCCTCACTCGGCACATTCTACATGACGCAACTGATCCCACTAAAAAGGGAGGGGGGGTGTCGAATATTAAAGCTCGATGTACTCAAGCTTCGGATGGTAATGATACAGAGATCTTTTACGAATATTTAAGACGACTACACTTGCTTCTTCTCCAATTTATGCGAAAGTATGTATAATCATGAAGATAATTGGGTCACGCGTGGTCACGCTTTAGCCGGAAAAATATTATCTTCGGACAATATTTGCTGTATCATTATAAGTACATAATCTGCTTGACCAAATAAATTTACTATTAAATATAAATTAAATAAAATATAATTAAACAATCAATGTTTTACGTTTCGCGCGAGTGTTAAATATTTAGAGACTTAAATCGAATTTATTAAGAAAAATCATATTGCCTTTTAAATATATCGCGTACATAATAATACATGGAAGCTGATGGAAATGATTCATCGATAAGATATTATCGAATTCAAATATACTTTTTACAATTATAATATTATTAATTACATTTTATTGTTGAACTGATTGTAAGAGACATTATTATTGTTAGGCAACTTTTAATCGATAACCAACATAAAAATTATTTTCACATTAAATATCACTTGTGTATGTAAATAAAATTACAATTTTTCAGTGAAATATATTATCTATCACCTCCGTTTACTGAAAAATTTATGTCTTTACATTATTAACACGTTTGAGAAATCTCTAATTACTTATAAAAGTACGAATAATTTAAGAAGATCTCGGCTACGTAGCGATAGCATCTGTATTAAATCATTGGGTATAGTGATTTTAAATGTCGGTTTAACGAGATAATGCATAACTACAAGAAATGGCTGTCACTGTTCAAAGTCATCATATTCTGTTGGAACAACCTGTCACCACAAGTGAACAAATTAGATATATCCCTATGGGCAAATGGGCGAACGGGACTTTGTTTAACTCAACAGATGCTTACATGAACCAATTTATCCAACGCCAAACGACTACTCAATTACGTACTTTGGTATAAAAAAAAAGTACATAATCATTGTCGGATTAATCCACGAGTCTCGCGAACGGCGTAGAGAGTCCGTCCTGTGGCTTTTTAATTTTGGCAGTTGACGCATGTGCGCAGCCGTAAGTACGAATGAGAGAAAGATAGAGGAATGAAGCGCGAGAGAGGCAAAATGAGCAACCGAGTCGCTGACAGGCAACGTTAACGGCCACTCGTCACGAGACACAATCGCGCTCGCGAAACGAGACACTCGCCGACTTTCGATTCGCTTAATTAGCTATTATAAATGAGACCGCGATGCACGTACTTTTAGCCTTTTACGTTCGAGACACGCGAGACTACGGCACTTTGTGTGCCTTGTGTGCGTGTGCTCGAGAGTCCGTGAGTCAACAAATCTAAATGTGGAATATGCTTTGTATGTGTCTGTCTCTCTCTCTCTCTGTGTGTGTGTGCGCGCGCCTGTATGTGTGCGTAACGATTAACGTCAGCTCCTTTGCATTGCTATTGTCTCTCGTTTATGGAATATAGGAGTTTAAAATGCTGAGCTCAAGTTTTAATAAGTTTTTAATGCTATCTCGGTGACAAAATTATTGTCGTTAACCCGTTTGTTACAATGATTAGCCATAATGTTTTCTTATAACTCTTTATTTGCATAAGCAAACAAATACGAGCAAAGGGTAATTATAACCCTACTAAAATTTTTTGAATAGTAATGATTAAGAGAGATCATATATTAAGTTTTTAACACGCGTTTTGTATTTATTGTGCATTTGTGCATAAAAGATAAGTGGTATATATACAATTGAATTATGCATATTAATATTATTAAAATATTTTCATAAGTATTGGTTATTAATGCTATTTTCAATAATAAAACACATGAATTATCAGTAATTTTAAGTATAATAATTCTGTTGTAAATAAATTTTTATTTATTTCAAATGCTAGTTTCGTTGCTTTATAATACCACAATTGTAATATAAATGATTAAATAAGATAATAAAATTTTTCAAACTTTACACGCACTATTTATAAAACATATTAAACAAACGTTAAAAGCTATTTTGCAAATTTTTCTTACATAGTGAATAAACATTAAGAAAATGACATAATACTTACTAACAAAATGTGCCTGCCAAGCCAGAGCAGCACACAACAAAGCCAATGTTTTACCACTACCAGTTGGACTTTCTAATAAACAATTTTCATTGTTCTTACATCCTTTAATAACCTGCGGAAAGAATTGTAATTAAGTAACTATTTCCAACCGTAATATCAATATTTAATATTAGATTAAACATTATTATTGCAACTACTCCACGAACCAAAATACTTGAGATGCGTTAATCAGTGTAGTTTCTAGTCTCACAATTGCTCGCATAAATAATGATAAAGAAATATTAAGAGATAAATTTAAATGTAACACTTTGAAAATTATAATGATTCTTAATAAAATACGATTTTCAACATATTGATATTTATCTTGTCCACTATACGATGAATTAATAATGTAATAATCAATAATTGTTAGGTGGATTTCATACATAAATGTATCTTCAAATTTGTTTAAATACATACCGCATTCATTACCGATATTTGACTCTTGTAAGGTGTAATTGGAAACATAACTGGAACCCCAGCAATAATCGGTGGCATACCAGCTGGCAATGGAATATTGTTATAATTTTTTTCATACTTTTTAAATGACTTCACTTTATCTATTTGCTTCTCCAGTTGGAAATTTCTATTATTTATCGATGTCGATTGTTCAAGACTAGAATCGTTAACTGACAAATCGTTGTTAATGAAATTGTTTTTACAAGGTGATTCTTTAATAGCACTATCATCGCTAACATTTACTTCTGACTCATCATTGGATATCTCAATCGATGATTCGATAGTCTTAGGTGTTTTGGTATCATTTTCAATCTTTTCTGATACTTTAGCTGTCTTATTCCAACGAAAAACACTTGCTTTATCTGGAACAAATTTTCTTTTAGCTTTAGTTTTATTCCAATGATTAGTCGCTGCTAATGGATCACGAAATTCCTCATCACTCATTTCCTCTGTATTTATTGATTTGTCTTTCTCAAAAGCAGTTAAACGCCTATTATTTAATCCTAATCTACAAGCAAAAAAAAACTTTTAATATATTCGACGAGTATTAATATTAAGATTAAAATAACGATATTGTGTTCATAGAATAGTATTTATCTAACGCTTCGTGCTTAAAGAAATATTGAAATGATATTCATGGCAAAAATTATTCAACAATTAATGCATAATGTTAATTCCATAGAGCAGAACGACATTGGAAAGAAGAATATTCTCCTTCAATGATTTAATGTCATATTAAAATGACTATAACTATCTACACTTTACAATTGAAGCATGCATTTTGTAAATATTAAAATTCCTTGGACAAAATGAAAGTTGTCAAAAACGACTAATGCCACAAAATTTATCTATATCTTTGAAATCGCGTTTTGAATCTGTTACGGCAGTGCTTAACCTCAAAGAAGAGTATTGTGTATTCTCACTTATTAATTGCCGACTTCAAATGTTTATGCGAATAAAAAACACAAACAAACAGCACGGTAAAACAAGCGATAAATATCATTACAACCGCAGCACTATGTTACATTACGAATAAATAAACGCACACGAGCTTTTATAAAATAAAATTCCGAGTAAGCGCGGGAAATTTTGGCACTTGTTAACTGTCTGTGGTAATCTGTGGCAGCACCAGAGTCCCGAGCACGTGCCAATTGGTAATTTTGGATAAATTTTGAGCGCTGCAATATCACCTCTGCATCTTTATTTAACGACGTGACGTTGCAGCATTGAAATATTTTGAAAAACTTATGTTATTCGCGTAGAAATCATGGAATTCTTACGCATATTCGATTATCACTATGGAACTGCCAGCTCAAATTAATTTATCACGTCCGCTATTGTTCTATATCACATACGTATTATTACAATATAAATTATTTATACGATAAGCAATCTTACGGCTTTTATTGCAAAGCATTGCAAATTACAAAAGATATTACGAATAAATTACATTAAAATATCATTGTCAGCGAGAGGTATTTTTACCTCGGAACATCAAAATTGTTGCTTGAAGTATTATATGATTTTATGTGCAAAGTAAGCGCTGCATAGGTATAGAAATTTTTTAAAAATTTGATATTTAATTCGTTAAAATTGTTAGGAAAATTCATAGAGATATTAATTTCATAGAGATAAAGTTTCAATGATAAAAGAATTTAGTATTTTCAATCATTCTAGAGTCCTTCAGTCTCTAGGATTAATGAAATCGAATTGAAGCTTATCAAGCGTTGTAAGAATAACGAAAAGAACAATAACTCCAAATGCCGTATTTTCCAAAAATTATATATGAGTGACATTGCCGAGACACGTACGATGGTTAGATGAAAAAACTCACTCACACAGTTGAGTCGCTTCCCGGTGTCGGTGAGTTGTCGCTGAATCTAATATGTCCAAACTTGTTGGTGACTTTTGCCGAAACTGTCGCGAAATTCAACGCTATAATCGCAAGATGGTAATTACAACTTTTCCCTTGGCATTTAGTGAGTGAGAGTGGCTCCAATGAGATCCGAATTGTTCTAGTGAGTATAAGTGAGTATAATGGAAAAAAACGTCCGAGGCAAATCTGGTATGCCGGATCATAAAATATTAATTAGATAATACGAGTTCAAACGATTTATGATATTTATATTCCATTCATTGGATATAATTCGTATGTAACATTTTTGCATGTAATGACTACAATTTTCTCCTATTTCTTGAATCTGTACGCTAGGGATGAAAAAGATATTCTGGAAATTTGTCCCTTTTTCCTCAAACGTCCATCAAAATGAAACAAATAATTGTTTCGTTAACTATTCCTAAAGTATCCATAACTGTATACTGTTATAATAATAATAATAATAATAATAATAATGATAATAATAATAATAATAATAATAATAGTAATAATAGTAATAATAATAGTAGTAGTAATAATAGTAGTAATAATAATAATAATAATAATAATAATAATAATAATAATAATAATGTACATCTAAATTATTAATATTTGTTAAAATTAATAAAAACTTATCTTTTTAAATGTTAATGATGATGTTGCATACGATTTATGTGACAAATTTTTTAAAAACTATCTTTTTTAAAAATAAAAGCCATCCTTCTTGCACTTGTGAAAAAAATTAAAAAAATACAATATAAAATTCCATGCCAGTGGAATACATAAATAAAGTTATGACTTTGTCTGCGTTTTATTGCCATATAAAATATGAATTTATTAAAAATAGATACAAGAAAAATGTCTACCGTATTTTTCTAGACAAAATATTTTCTAAAAGAAGGAAAAAAGAAAGAAATTTAAAGTTTATAAAATAGATTTGAGAAGATCTGTGGGAATATTTCATATTTACATTATTACTATTGGTAATACTATAATAATTTAAAATACTTATATTATTATATTAATTATAATATAATTATTAAAATAATTATATTATATAATACTTAAATTTAAAATAAATATATTAAGTTTTCATTTGGTATATTTCAATGGCCGAAGCTGGCGGCACATATAATTCGATGTTACTATTTCCCAAGTATTGCTATATATGTTTTTGGAAATTTCGCTATACTCCATCCACTTATTAAATTATCCTTACTACTAAACTCAAAATGTTATAATACAATAAAAAGTGTTTTTTATAAGTGCGAAGTTTTAAAATCCCAAAACCCGTCTGACATTTTGTTTAATGCAATTGAAACACTTTGGCCGATCATTGGTCCTCACACAACCACTCATGCATACACAAAAAAGATGAAAGTCTGTATATACTGGCGTAGGTATTCGGCAACTAAATTCCTTTCAATTAAAAAGTCGAAGATAAATAAATAGTATATGCACGTGTGATTTTCGAGCATCATGTTCCAGGAAGAGAATCGCCCGCCAAATAAGTCACAGCTTAAGGACATAATTTCTATTGGCGATCGGACGAGCCTCGCGAATCAGGCTTATTATTAAAATTGGCAATTACAAATCGTTTGTTGCCGGCCAAAAGAATTTAATTTAATAACTATTAATCGAAGAACAAGCACGTATCCCATTTAATAAATTCTCTCTCACAAGATTTCTCAGTATAAACGATCTATTAAATAACTCACATAATCAATGTTTTACACAGTGTTTAAAAATACCTTGTTCACACGTTGGAACGCAACTTTGTTCAAAAATAGTTTCCGTACCTTCGTAATTCATTGCATATCTTTGCATAGATAATTACCATTATAATATGTATATCAAACACATATGCAATGCGAAATACAATGCTAAGAATCGAATAAAATGCGAAATACAATGTTCTCATGGTAAGAAAAATTCTGAAAAATTCTGAAAAATTCTGAAAAATTCTGAAAAATTCTGAAAAATTATTTAAAAATTAATTCTGTATTTACGAAATGGATAATGTTAATTATCTATTTTATACTTGACACAACCATACCGATATATTTTACTAATTGTCCAATTAAATGTGTTTAATATTTGTTAATTTAATTAAGGTACACGCGAATTTAATTACACACAGACTTGATGATTTCGAGGAATGAAAAATTTGTTTTTCTTTCACATTTAATAATAGATCTAATCGTACAAATTTCAACCGTTAGCATATTACAAATAGTAAGAAAAAAAAGCTTTAAAATTAATGCTGCGAAGAAAAAAATCAGCAGTGTTATATTTATTTAATCTGCAAAGTAATAACTATTCTATTTTATAGTCAGTTATTATATAATAAATATTATTAAAGACAAAAGAAAAAAAAAAAAAAATTGCCACACTACCGATCAATTATTGTCTATTTATATGCTTAGCTTATCTTTAGATAACTAAACAACATATAATAGACAAGGCATAATAAAATATTTTATGCATAAAAAAAAAATTTTTTGTTTACATTTAATAAAGTCTAATGAACGTATGAATAAATATTCTATTGTTTTTATTTGTTTGTTTTTTATATAATTTATAACTCATCCTTTCTCATTTGGAAAATTTTTTTATGTATTAATTCGTTCCTCCATGCTTAGTATGTTGAAAAAAAAGTTATTTTATATCATATCCGTGTAATGATTTATATTCTCATTAATTTTACAATAAATAGAGTAGATGTAAAGAAATTTCTTTCAGCGATATCTCGGAGACGAAGAAGAGAGCAAACCTAAAAAGATAAACATCCGACTTAATTGAATAGTAATTTAATGGGAATATTAAGATAATAAAAGGATAGAAAGATTAATTGATTTTGTCATTTCGTTTAAAGTAGTTAATAAATAATTGGTCGAATATTTATGTTCGGGTATAAAGGTTCAAGACGTTGAAAAAGGGATTGGAATGGTTTACTCATATTTTCCAAAGTTTCATATCTAATCTTACGTAATAGTACTTATTTTTCATTTTCACAATAACAAATACATAATGGAATTTATGTGATGTGTATGACGAATTGGGTACAAATTTTGTTACAGAGTGCCATTTTTATATTAAAAAGTATATCAATTTAGTAGGATTTAAAATTTTGTAATTTTTGAAGTATTCTGAAGTGTCACAATTCATTATTAATATCCAAATTATATAGGTAATACAAAATTTTTAAAGGCTCACATATCCTTTAATAAAAACAGTGAATAACAAAAAATAATATGTGTATACGAGCCATCGTAAATTTTGATAAAGTAGTTGATTCCTTTTATGCGCAATGCAAAATGCATTATATATATATATATTTTTTTTTAGCATGTCTTCCCTCCAATAAACTTCGTATTACTTTACCACTAAAATATTTATAACAATTTAACAGAACATTCCGGCCATATTATAAATCTCATCTCACATTAAAGTCAAATCAATTTTTCCTTTATCACCAATTATCTATGACTTACAAAATAAGAGCCTTCCTAGGCCTTATTTACTTAACCAGTCCTTTCTCCCCCCCCCAACCCCTCCCCTATTCGGTTTGCCTCAATGTACTATAAATTAATACATTATATCGCGAAAAATCTAATGAAGACAGAGCCAGCCGAGAGAATATCCATCGGCCCTTGGTTCTTCTCATGGCTCTCGAAAGTTCCCTCGTCTATCTCGGAGAGAAGGAATCATGGCGAATCGCTTGATCCCCGGCTCACTGGGTCACTCTCCACAAAGCATCCGGCAAGCTTAAGCTTCTCTACATCCAGTGAGAGGATGTACATGATGGATCGTCAGCTAAGCGAGAGAGAGAAAGAGAGAGAGAGAGAGAGAGAGAGAGAGAG